GAATACATCATCCTTTCATATAACCTCCATAAAAGGATGGACCTATCGATACTTGAGGGTCTTGGGCGAGGGATGATAAATTGATGATTCACCACAAATTCGTGGGCGGAAATATATTTTTCTTCCTCCAGAGCGATCACGTCACCGCCCGTCTCTTGGAGAGTTGCACGCTCTTTATGTTCTTCCGACTCGCTTTTATGATTTTCCGTCTCAATTTTATGTTATTCCGGTTTTCTTTATGATTTTCACGTTTAGTCGGCACCCGAGGCCAGTCGCGCTCTGAATGGACTAATGGATCGACCTGGACTCCAGGTCGATCCATTAAGGGGCCATTCGGATAAATACTGTATGAACAGGGACAGGGACAATCCAATCAGACAGCAGATCCCAGGACTTCTCTTCTTCAAGAGAAGACATCCTGTCCTGTCCGACCGAGATGCTTGCAAATGAGAGAAAGTCGAAGGCACGCTTCGACGTCGGTGGAAGCATCAGACATGCATCCACGCGATCCACGACACATGACACAGAGTTGGTACCAGCAGTGTCGCACAACAGTGAACTCCGACGAAGACATCTCATCCACGTGACAGATTGTGACAAAGCCACGAAGGAATTGCAATACATCTGGCACGACCCACCCGCCAATGCACCAAACATCGACGAGAACGGCGATGTTTCATGGGGACCTGTCATTCTATGTGCTGCCATCACGTGGGATGATTTCCAAAGATGGCTCAACCGCAACGAAGGACGAGTGAGACGATGGGTCTTTGAGCCCCTTGCAGATGGAACGGGAAAAGGACGAGTGGTCATGTACAGCATCCCATCGTTCGTTCACTCGAAAACCGCAGGTCGAATCGCAACCATCATCCGCGATCAAGTCGGAAGGGCCGGGAATGACATTGGCCTGTTGGATACTGTTGAAATGGCGACGGATCCAACATGCCGCACTGGACAGCACGGTCAAGAGCCAGAAATTTGTCTTTTTCCTGCGGGTCTGGCAGTTGGAGGCGCGGTGCTGGCGGCTGCAAACAACCATCCATATCCCAATGTCATTGTTGAGATCGCGTACAAGAATGAAAGCCTCGGTCGTCTCCGTGCGAAACTGGAACGTTGGATGGACAACACTTCTGTCCAGGTCGCGATTGGAATCAAAATCAATGCTATCAACGCCGACCGAGTGGCCATCTTGTGCCAGCGAGGTCAGCCCAATCAAGAAGTGCCGTTTGGTCATCCTCATTTGCCTCCGCTTGCGATTTCGTTTCCACTTGCTCTTATCTACACTGGTGTTGCAATACCACCGGCTTTGGCAGCCCTCGCAAATCCCCATATTTCCATTGACCTGATTGCCTTGCGGACGTTTATCGATGGAATCCTCTTCGACGAAGCTGCAGCACACTAGCCCTACTGGTAGTAGACCAAGCTCTTCCAACACAGATGCATTGATTTCACCAATCTTGGTTTTTCGTTTGTGGAGTTTCAATCGCTATCAGGCGGGCAATTTGACGGTTCCGCGACGCTGGAGTTGTTGTGGATGTGTGGAGTAGTCCTTGGCTAAAGCGACATCAACAGAGACCAAGGGGACAACCCGGCACCGCTGCCCCAGCTGGGCGTTGAATGCGTCGGCAAGGCACGATTGGGCCCCTATCTCGATGTAGTGTGTCCAGAAATAGTTGTTGTGCACGTACGAGTCCAAGATCGTCATATACGCCAACGTGATGCTCACCGAGGCCATCACGGCCATCGCGCTGCCGACAAGGGAGACGGCATGACTGCGAAACAAGCTCGAGGCATCTGCCGCCGCTGGGTCGACCGTCGTTTCTGCAGCGGCAACTTGCATCGTCTGGTTTGAACCAAACGTCGTGTCGCCGTTTCGATCCAAGCGTTACACTTGAAACGGTCTTGCCCTGAGTCGAGACAGGTTGAGATCTGGATGTGGGCGATCTCGAGACGGCCGTGCTGCGTTGAAGCAATGTTATGGCTGCATGCGCCGGTCGTCGGTGTGCACAGGATAAAAGCCCCGCGACGATCCTAATCGTTTCCATCCGCCAGTCAAACCAGCGCGGTAGCACTCGTTCCGATGAATTCCACGTTTTCCTTGTTTCGTGATTGTGCCATGGACTTTGTGCACTGCGGCACGTTTGCCCTCCAAGCAGCTTGAGCATCGTTCGACGTGGTTGCGAAGCGGTTTGTTCGAGCCATGCTGTGTCCACCACTTTTTGCGGATGGATTCAGCAGCATGCGTGTGCCACATGCACACATGCATACATCCTTGACCCTTGATTTGCAGGAAAGATCTCGAGTTTGCTGTCTGCCCACAGGATCTGGCATCGCATCCGCCGTGTCAATAGAGTGGCCGCTTGTCACTCCGTCTACACAGCAGCAGTAGCCCGCGATCAGTGGCAAGCCAGGCATACGACTGCAGAACACCTGTTTGCTCGATAGCCCACAGCGTCGGGAGCTTTGACGTCTTCGGACGCGACCCTTCATGGTTAACCTCGTGTTCGGTGCTGTGTGAATCCTGCTCGGCGTGACTTCGAGCGCCCGGTGGTTTACGTGCTAGTGCTGGCTCGACTTTCACGGGCGAAAGGAACTCCGCGATACCACGATAGTGGCGCAGTGTGAATCCATGCTGCGCAATCACAATTGGCGCGGCTGTCCAT